ATAGAGAGGAAGGGAGGGAGGGTGAGAGAGATAGAGAGACAGAGAGGGAGGGAGGGGGAGAGAGAGGCAAAGACAGAGAGACAGACAGATAGACAGACACACATATACACACTCTTTCTAACACTCATTGATTTAAAGAAGGCCTTTGATTCTGTTGAGACGGAAGCGGTCATTGAAGCCCTAGCCAATCAGGGCATTCAAGCCCAATACATCAGGATCCTCCGTGAGCTGTATTGCGGATTCACCACCAGGATCTCACCATTCTACAAAGAAGTAATCATCCATATCAAGAGAGGGGTTTGGCAGGGTGATAGCATTTCACCAAAACTCTTCAGTGCCACCCTCGAGAACATCATGCGACGACTGGAATGGAAGGACTGGGAGTGAAGATAGATGTTCGGCAACTACACCACCTCCGCTTTGCTGATGACATTGTTTTAATAACACCAAACATCAGCCAAGCGGCACAAATGCTGGCTGACTTTGACCGTGAGTGTGGAAAGGTAGGACTACAGCTGAATCTTATGAAGACAATGTTTATGAGAAACAGCCTCGTTCCTGATGCCCCATTCACTCTCAACGGAACGACCATCTCCGAATGCAACAGCTATGTGTACCTAGGTCGAGAAGTCAACATGACAAATGACCTGGCACCCGAGCTGTGCAGGAGGAAGAGAGCGGCTTAGGATGCCTTCAAGAGCATCGAAGAAATAGCTAAGAGGATGAAGAACTTCCAGCTCCGGGCACATCTCTTTGATTCCACTGTTCTTCCTGCATTAACATATGCCTCAGAGACCTGGGCCCTACACAAACAGGATGAGAACGCTATTCGGGTCTCCCAAAGAGGAATTGAAAAAGCTATGCTTGGAATATCATGTTTCATTCAAATGAGAGAAAGAATCTGGAGTTTCGACATCCGTCGACGATCAAGAATCAGGGACACTGTCTCGTTTGCCAAGGTGTCAAAAATCAGATGGGCTGGTCACGTAATGAGATTTAAAGATGACTGCTGGACTAGAGCTGTTACTGACTGGATTCCACGGGATGTCAAAAGAACGCGTGGCCGCCCACCTACCAGGTGGTCAGACTTCTTCATCAAGATCATGAATGATCGGTTTGAGGCTCTTCATGTTCCTAGAACGAACAGACGCCATTGGGCTACACTAGCACGTGACAGGGACAAATGGAGGCGTTACTGGCGCCCACTCGAGCAAATCGGTGATTAATGGGAAGTCAAGTGATCAAGTGATACATACACACACCATGAGAGCGAGAGCAGAGACAGAAAGAAGGAAAGTGACTACCATAGAGCTATAGAGGTAGACTGGAAAGAGGGTGACGGGAGGGAAACTGGGGTCATTGGTGGTGGGAAATGTCCACACACTGGAGGAGGGATGGGTGTGGGAACACTGTATGTCTGAAACCCGACCACGATCAGCTTTGTAACTGTGCATCTCACGGTGACTCAAAAACTAAAATAAAAAATAGCATTTGTACGTGAAGCCTCAGGTTTGAGTATTATCTCAGGACGCTCACGAGGGACTCTGACCTCCTGCCCCCAGTCTTCTATCAGGTTTCTTCTATCAGGAAGACTGTGGGTAGTGGGAGGGAAATATTGGGGGACGGGGTGGGGCAGGCGGAGACCGTGTTTGAGATTGCTCTTCTGGGTCACAGTCTGCACTAAAGTTCCCAGCAACTCTCAAACTTAGGGCCTCTCAGGAACTCTGGGTGTACCCCCTAACTGCTGCCCCCCACACCAGGAAGGGCACCCCCAGTCTGGAGCCTGGGGCTCCGTGCATTCACCTCCCCTTCATATCTCCACCAGGAAACTGCAGCTGGCCCCACGCGGAGAGGCCCCATCGTCTGCTTTGCTTATTTTTTTTGTGTTTTTGGGGCCACACCCAGTGGTGCTCAGGGCTTACTGCTGACTCCGCACTGCACTCGGGAATCACTCCTGGCGGGGTGCGGGGGACCGGGTAGGGCGCTAGGGATCAAACCAGGCTCAGCTGCGCACAGAGTAGGCGCCTAACCCACTATACCACATGTCTCTTCGGCACTGGCTTTTTCCTTCTTTTAAAGCATGTTCCTGTTTGGGGGCTGCACCCTGCGGTGCTCAGGGACGGCTCAGGAGAGACCCCTGGTCGTGCTTGGGGGACTTTGTGTGGGGCTGGGGACCAAACCAGGCCCAGTCACACTCAGGCCTTAGCCCCTGCATCTCTCTCTGGCCATTCTTGATTATTGTTAGTTTTGAGGCCACACGAGGCAGTGCTCAGGGGCCACCCCCCAGGGGCTGCTCCTGGCTGAGGGGCTACACAATTCTGGGGCTGGACCCGGCCCCCAGCATTTGGAGGATGTGCCCTAGCTGGTCAGGCCACCTCTCTGCCCCCCACCAACTCTCCTTCTGTGCCTTCTCCACTCTGGGCAGCTCCTCTGGGGAAGATCTCTCTTTCTCTTTCTCTCATCTCTCTCCTCTCTCTATCTCTCTCCATCTCTCTTTTTTCTCTCTCTCCCCTCTATCTCTCTCTCCTCTCTATCTCTCTATCTCTCTCCTCTCTCTTCTCTATCTCTCTCCTCTCTTATCTCTCTTTCTCCCTCCCTCTTTGGAGAGGGTGCACACCAGCAGTGCTCAGAGCTTACTGCAGGCTCTGTGCTCAGGATCACGCCTGGCGGGACTCAGGGAGCAAATGTGGTGTCAGGGACAGAACCTGGGCTGCCCGCCTGCAAGGTCATGACCTCTGGCTACACTGTCTCCCCTAGGGGAGACCTTGATACCCTCCCATCGTGCTTTGCTTCTCTCCTCCTTCCAGAACCTTCATCATGTGCTGCCAGAAGGATCTTCACAACCTCCATGGCGGGTGTGTCTCAGGGGGCGGCTGGCGCTGGGCTACCCAGCCTGTGTGGCCCTCTTGTCTCCGCCTCCCATGGCTGGTGGCCTCGGACCAGTTCCCACCAGACAGAGTTTTGTCTCTGCCCCTCCGGCCCTCGCTCACCCTTCGTGCCCAGAAAGCTTGACCACGACTCTTTGCTCCTGGTTGCTTCCTTGCCTGGACAGACAGACAGGAGAGACAGCCCCCACAGCCGTCTCTGCCCCGTCCCCGGCCTGGCTAATGGTTCCCCTGTGGTCTCCTGGCCTTGGCTTCACAGCCTGTCCGCAGAGGGGGCAGTTTCCCTGTTTGCCACGGTCTCTCTCTCCCCCCAGGAAAGGCCCCCAAGTCCCACTCCTTCCCTTAAGCTCCAAACGCTGTGAACTGCGCACGGAGCCCACCCAGCCTGTCGCACAAATAGAGGCACATCTGAGTGGGAGGGAGCCCCCTCTGGGAGACGCCCCTCCGCGTCCTTAAAAGTGTGACGTGTTCCCTAAACAGGCTCCTTTGCTGCTGCCTGGCCACGAAGGGCAGATCAAGAGCAAAGCAACCACAGAATGCGGGAACCATGATACTCTGTGCGCAGACTAACCCTCCAATTTACTGCAGTTCCAACTGGTCCCCAAGGACAGACTCCTGGGGTCTCCAATGGTCATTAGTCCATAGTAGCAAAGGAACGTAATAGGTTGAGGTCCTTAACGCTGCCAATTTTCCCCCCTGGCAGACCAGATCTCAGGTTCCGGGGACAGCCCTAGTCTCCTGACCTGTGTCTCTGTTTAAACACACATTGTCGCTGGCCTCACATGCTGGGGGAAAAGGCATCTGGGATAGAGAAGGGACCACTAAGTGAATGATGCTTGGAGGGTTCGTTCGGGATGGGAGATGCGTGCTGAAAGTAGACTATGGACCAAACATGATGGCCACTTAGTACCTGTATTGCAAATCATAACACCAAAAAGGAGAGAGAGAGAGTAAAAGGGAATGCGCCTGCCACAGAGGCGGGGTGGGGGAGATGGGGTGGGGGGGGGAGGGAGGGATACTGAGAACATTGGTGGTGGAGAATGGGCACTGGTGGAGGGAGGGGTATGCAATCATTGTATGACTAAATCGTAATCATGAAAGTTTGTAAGTCTGTAACTGTATCTCAAGGTGATTCATTACAAAATAGCACTGTGACTGTAGCACTGTTTTCGGGTTGTTCATCCATTTGCTTGAGCGGGTGTCAGTATCATCTCACAACAAATTGTGAGACTTGTTGTTACTGTTTTTGGCATATCGAATACATCACAGGGAGCTTATCAGGCTCTGCCATGTGGGCGAGATACTCTCGATAGCTTGCAGGGCTCTCCGAGAGGGGCAAAGGAATCGAACCTGGGTCGGCTGCGTGCAAGGCAAACACCCAACCTGCTGTGCTATTGTTCCAGTCCATCAAAACACATTAAAAAAAAAATAAACACATTGTCTTTAAGAATTAGAATGTTACTGGGGGGGATGCACCCTGAGTGCCCAGGATTCTCTTTGATTTTTCATTTTTTTTTTGGTTGGAGGAGGCACATCTGGGGGTGCTCAGGGTTTCCTCCTGGCTCTGTGCTCAGGAATGACTGAGGGGACCACCTGGGATGCTGGGGATGGAATCCAGGATCAGCTGCATGCAGGGCAATCGCCCTCCCTGCTGTCCTACCGCTCTGGCCATGGACCCAGGATGCTTGCACACAAGACATGAGCCCCAGACTGGCACCACCCCGGGCGCGGCCCTGGATCTTTGGAGCGGAGTGTGCCTTAGGCTCTCTGCTCCTGGCAGAGACGGCTCCTACCCTCCATTCCCAGCCGCCCGGGTCAGCCCTGCTGCTGCCAGCCCTGCCCAGGCTGAGTGCCGGCCACTCTTCCTGGAGATTAAGTTGCTGATTCACCGCCTTTATCAAGACCCTTTGTTCCCCCTCTTCTTCCTTCCTCTTTATCTGGAGACTCAGTGTTAGAGCCCGGGGTGGGGTTGGGGGGGGGGGGCGTGAAGGGGTGTGTCTGGTTTTCTGTCTCAGTTTCCTGCTGATTAATGCTCCTGTAACAGCAGGTCCCGGCTCCGGCTCCGTCTCTCCATCTCTCCTCTGGACGATCCCCGCTAGGATCTCTGAGGGAACCATGGAGCTCTTGGGGTCTCTCAGCCTGGAAGTGAGCGCTCCCTTGGTGACAGTGGCACTGTCGGCCGTCCTCCTGGCCCTCCTGAAATGGTAAGTACAGCCAGCGTGTCCCAGGGATCGGGCGAGCTGGAACCCGGCTGGGTCGGGGAGGTGACGCAGGAGAGCGTGCTGGGAGCATGTTTTGCTTCCTTAATCTCGGGAGAGTGGAGTATTAATGCAGCTGCAGAGTGAAAAGCAAACAGGCAGGTTAATCTTTCGCTAAAATGCATGAGACCATGAGACCGAAGGTGTGGGGGAAACCTGGTGAGTTAGTGGCTCAGAAAGCCTCATGTCACCACGCTGGAAAGAGTCGGAAAGAGACGTGGCGAAGGTTTGGATCCAAGTATTACCCTCCACCCATCCTATTTTCTCGCTCCCCTCCTTTTTTTTTTTTTTTTTTTAAGTTTCTCTCCCCAGATTGCCTTTGCAGAGGTTGTCCTGTCTTGGATGATGCTTTAAAGGGTTGGGTACGGGGCTGGAGAGATAGCACAGCGGGCAGGGTGTTTGCCTTGCATGCGGCCGACCCGGGTTCGATTCCCAGCATCCCATATGGTCCCCCTGAGCACCGTCAGGAGTAACTCCTGAGTGCAGAGCCAGGAGTAACCCTTGTGCATCGCTGGGTGTGACCCAAAAAGCAAAATAGAAAAAAAATAAATAAATAAAGAGCTGAGTACAGGCACCATCTATCCTTGGGGCCCTGTGGCACTAGATTGGGGATGGTAGGGGCCTGAAGGACCAAAGGGTCGACTTGCCTTCCCAGCTCTTGGGAGAAGGGAATACACTCAGAGCAACAGAGCATCTCCAGAGCTGGAGGGCAGCAGGAACTCACATTTGAATGGTCGCTTTTGTTCATTCAACAGGTTTTCCAGAGTCTGGCTGCTGGGGAACTTTGGGGCCCACCCTCTCTCCACGCTCTGTGGGTGTTTGTGACTGGTTGTAACTCTCACTGCATTCACCCCACCATGCAAAGCACCTGGCTTTAGGTGGCTCGGGCCTTGGGGGTGAAGATGGGGGGCAGGGGAGGGTGGGAATCTGGAAAGAAAATCCTGAGAGAACTTGACTTTGAACAGGATTTTCATTTCTGTTCGTAATAAAGCCTCCTTTCGATTAATAACTGGGAAAGCACTTTGAAAGCATCCAGCATTATGCAAATGTGAGGTATTATTCTTCTGGAATTTGCATAACTGAAAATGGAATTCACGTTTGATGTTCCAGGATGCTGAAATTACTTCTTGGAAATTGGCTTTGAAACCCTGATGCAGTCCCAGTGCTGTTTGGCTTTTTAACTGGTTTAATTATCTTTTGAACTTTCTCCATGTCGGCGTTGCTTATCTGGCATGGAAACCCACCACGTGCGAAACCTGGAGTGACTCGGAGCCCCTGCCCTCCCCCCTCCAACCCCCATCCCCCATCACTGCAGCCCAGCCTGCACACCAGGCCTGGCGCTTAGGAGGGGCCGGGTGAGTGGCAGGCAGCCCTTGCACTGCCCGTCTGCCAAGGGGAGTGGATGCAGTGGAAGATGCATCTTTTGTGTCTGAGCTACATTTTCCTGTTTGTCTCTTTTTTCGAGGTTGTCCAGCCCATACCCTTGGGAGCTCAGGGCCTGTTCCTGACTCTGTGCTCAGGAGTGATCCCTGGCAGTGCTTGGGGGAATTAGTGCTTGGGGGACCAGTGCTCGGGGGACCAGTGCTCAGGGGATCAGTGCTCAGTACAGTGTCCAGGATTTGAACAGGGTTGCAGCTGCCGTAGCCGCATACAGGGCTATCTCCAGGGCTATCTCTTTGGCTCTATTTATTTATTTTGGGGTGTTTTTTTTTTTGGTCGTTTGTTTGGGGTCCACTTCCAGCTGGGCTCAGGGCTCATTCCTGACTCTTCACCCCGAGATCTCTCCTGTGGTTATATGAGCTGTCAGGGTCTGCTCTCCACAAGTCAAGCGCTCTACCTGCTGTACCATGGTTCTGGCCGTATTTCTGTGTTCTCCACTCCCAGTTTTGTGCTGACATGAGAGTCATGGTCAGCAGACCAGGGACTCACATACAGGCAGGCGGCTCTGGTTACGGGAGGGGCATGCCTCCTGCCTGATAAGCCGGGGGCTGGGGACCTGCGGCCCTGAGTCTGGGCGGTGCCACTGTCCCAAGCCTTCCATGCCTTGGCTGTCTGTCCCTGGGTTCCTTCATAAACTGTTGGTTGGTCCCGAGACACAAAGTTTCCAGGTCTGTGTAGGGGGAGCAGGAAGTTTGAGCAGTTTCATCTGTCTTTTGGTTTCCTCTGCTGCTCCTGTGTGGCCCGAGGTACAAGGTTGGGACTCAGGAGGTCTGGGTCAGACACGCAGAGCAGCGGGGCGCCCAGGGGGTGCTGGGTAGACTCGGGTCTGGGGACGGAGACACCGAAGGAAACGAGGGAGCAGCAGTGGGTACTCACAGCTGAGGGGTCTGGCCCTTGATCCAACTCACAGCGACACACCTCAGGCCCACTTCCCCAGGGAAGACCCCAGGGGACAGCTGGGGCGGGGCTGGCCCTGATTCCCTTTCCTTAAGGAAGTCTGTGTGGGAGGTTGAGGGGCACTTTGGGATGCCAGGTGAAGACCTCAGTGCCATTCGCCCCTGCGGAGAAGCTGTGGAGGAAGGATGACTCCTGTGTCGTTCTTCTGGTACCCTGCCCTGTCTTTGGGCCTGAGTGGATGGCCACAGAGAACATCCCCTCTGAGATAAAAGAAAGGGGCTTTCTATCCCCACCAGTCTTGCCGGACAGGAGCCAGCTCTGGGATCTCTGCAGTTCCAGAAACTTCTACCTGTAGCACAGGGTTGAATTTTTTTTTTTCTTTGAGCCACTGGTTGAATGGGATTGGTGTTCAGAAGTGTGCTCAGGAATTGGGGTATGGCTCCTGGTTCCCTCAAAGGGCTCATGACCCCTCCTCTCCCACAAGTATGGTGCTGATGGCTGGTCTGGGGTGGCCCCAGGGCTGCTTGTTCATCCTTTCACTCTTGCAGGATTAACATTTCTCCTGACCTTTCTCTTGCCTGTGAGGTCAGGGGCAGCACCTCAGAGAAGTATTTCTTTTTTATTTTTTTTCTTTTTGCTTTTTTGGGTCACACGCGGTGATGCATAGGGGTTACTCCAGGCTCACACACTCAGAAATGACTCCTGGCGGTGCTCGGGGGACCATATGGGATGCTGGGAATCAAACCTGGTCAGTTGAGTGCAAGGCAAATGCACTCCCCACTGTGCTATCGCTCCAGCCCCTCAGAGAAGTACTTCCTGTGTGCTCAGGGCACTCACCAGTCCCTCTGGGGACAGCCTCTGTCCCAACCTTTCTCCTGCTGTCTCTCCCCATTCCCAGCATGCTTTGTGGTCACGTCTCGTTCACGGGAACTGAATTCTACCCTCACGCCTTCTCTGGGCTTCTTTGCTGCACCTTCTCTTAGCTTTCACAGCTCACTGCCCCTCTTGAACGGTTTTGCCCTCACCAACCAGTCCCTCTCCTGAACATCTGTTTGTGTTTCATGCCTGTTCCAGCTGGGTGTCCGGTTTTCAGATTGGGGCAGATTGGGGCCTTTGAAACTGTGTTCACCTTCCAGGACAGACCCTGGGACAGATCTGTGTCCTTAGCAGATACTGCTTACTGGCTGCAGGCCTCTGTGAATTTAGAACAAAGAATGTAGATTTCATTCTGTTTGAAAGGGATCATGATAAAATAGACATAATACAGTGTTATGTTAGTTTGTTTTTGTTCTATTGGGGGCCTCGTCCACTGGTATTTGGGGGACTGTCAGGTGCTGGGATCTAACCCAACACTCACACATACAAAGTATGTGCTTCAGTCCTTTGATCCGTCTCCCTAAGCTTTTTGTCTTTTGGGGACCGCCAAGGATGGCATCCAGGGCTTCACACGTGCAAGGCAAGTGCTATGTCGCTGAACTATGCTCCCACCGGCTTAATACATCTTGATAGCTTCCTCCAAGGATTTCCAACGTGTGGCATTCACAGGGCTGAGATGTGACTGAGAAGTGTGGATTTGGGTGTAGGGAGATCAGGGCTGTTCTTCTGTGGATAGAGCGGTGGGTGGGATGGAGACTCTATTAGCATATGGACCACAGGGGCCGGTGATGAACACACAGGATAAAACCTTTTTTCAAAAGAGCTCCCTTTTCTAGATACAATTGAAAAGCTTCCTTGTGGAAGCGCTTTGATGAAGAAACCCTAAGTTGTATGAGCTGGATCTCGCTGGAGGTAGCCTGAAGTCTGATGCATTTAAACTTTCAAGCACACCTCAAAACTGGCAGCTGGATTTCGGGTAGCCAGATAAAGATTTCTTTCTTCTTTCAGAAAGAGTGTCAGGAAACAGCCCCGATGTGAATAGCAGTTTTCTTTCAATGAGGGGATTCTGAGTGATTACCCCCCCCCCTTCTTCTTCTTGGAGTCTTTTCTCATCTACCATATTTCCTTAATGGACATGAATTATGGGGCCAAATAGGAGATGCTCCGCCAGGGGCAAGGGGAGGAGGGAAGGGTGAGCCAGACATCCAGGCAGACTGTAGCTCGCTTTTTCTCCCCACAGAGGAGAGTGTACAGGGCCGTGGGGAGGATTTCAGGAAAGAAAGAGCAGAGTTGCTCGTGGAAGTGGCAGAACTTTCCAGGTGGTCGGGGGCGGGGCGCTGGTGGTGGTGGTGGTTGGGGGGAAGGGGTGGAGTTTCCAATGCCAGAATCTGGGGATACAAATCAATTGGACATTCAAAAGGAATCAGAGTGAGTCTGTGTTCTAATCAAGTCTCATCCTAACACCAGGCTGAAATTGATGTGATTATTAGGACTTTAGATGCTAACAAAAACATTTAACACTGTCCCTGGAACTTTCCTTCTCAGAAAACCTGCTTTCCGTGGAGGAGAACTGGGTTCTAGTTCTAGCCTTGAGTCTAGACGCAGGCTTTATTTGCAAAAAATTTCTCTGTCCCCTGGGGTATAAGGATGACTCCAAATACACAGTCCAAGACACGAGGCATACCACATTAACAGGATGAAAGATAAAAATGTTTTAGTAGAGGAGGAAAAAA